GGGAGAAACCTACGAACAGAGACATGAGAAATCCTTATGGAATGCCTGCAGTTCGTTGAATCCAACAGGGAAGGCTATCGGCTAGAAGCAGCTGCTGGAACCGAGCGTCGGGGCTACTGACATTAGGTTTATGCTCTGATACCAAGTTGCAATTTAGAATAAATCAACATAATTTCATTTATGAGAGGGATATTTAAGCCCAATTACAATCGACATGATAATGGAAAGTAATAAAAACAAAATAAAATAACTAGGAAAAAAATTACAACAGAATAAACCAAAAGAGGAAATACATAATTATAGAATAAAATCAAAGAATAATTAAAAATGGTGTGGGGATAGTTATTATAATCTAATAGGCCCAAATAAATATGATTAATTATTAAAAAATAACATAAATTATATTTACCTTAAAGATAACTAACTAAATTAATAATTAATAATCATTTATCAATGAATAAAATTGAATACAAGATACTAATTAAGAATATAAAATAAAAACTACATCATAATAATAATCAGTTTTCAATAAAAAAAAATGTAATATCCCTTCATCATAATCACCTGACAACATAATTGAAAATAAAATATATACTAGTTGAAATTTTCTATGTCAATCTCAAAACATATTAGGGGTAGATTTATCCTAAAAAATATTAAACCTAAACCTGCACGTATAAAAAAATTATTTGCTTAGAGTCTGTTTGAACCATTTTTTCATTTTATGCTTTTTATTTTTCTTTTAATAAAATAAAAAAAACACATTTGTTTACTTGTTTTTTTTTTATTTAACTTACTTTGTTTTTAAAAAGTTTCTATATTGTTTTTAAAAACAGAAAAACATGTTTTCACTATTTTTAAAACATGTTTTGCAAGCAATTGACCCGATCTCGAGACCTATCTTTCTCCGATGTAATCACTCGTGGAAAGTGGCCATGCAAATCATGTCATCCTACCCATCGAAAGCACCATAAAAGGCACCGTCCTCCAAAACTATCACCTCTCCTCTGACATGACCTTCAAATCACATAGGAGATCAGCCTCTTCGTCCACTACTACCTCCTCAAAATGCCCAATCCGTACCATTGAGCTCCGCCATTTGATGGCTCTAGCACATTGCTTCACATTTTCTACAGGACGAAGGAAAGTACCAACCTCAGCTGAAACTTTATCAAGTTTCTACACAGCCTCCTCCAGCCACTTTAAATTGGGATCAATTCTAATTGTCCATTCGCCAAATTTGCAAAGTTTACCAACAGTTTTAAACAAGAAGTTCATGGCGGCAGAATATTTTTTGGTTTCCTCCATGTTTAGTGTGGTCACATGTTGTTTAAGATTCATGTACCCAAACTCATCGAGCAAATCATCTGCCTCATCGATCGCATCTCTAAGTTGCCATATCCAATTATTAGTGTTGGGTTTGTACCTGAGATCACTGCTTCGTTGGAACTAGAGATAGCAGCTTGAATCTTCGGGTGGTTTTCTCACAACGTTTCTAACTCCTCCCTCAAGCATGTCTGCCACTTGAATTGATCTCAAAGTTAATCAGAGCAAGCATTGATGAGCCTCTCTACGTATCGAACATGGACACAAATCTGACAAGTGTAGAACACGACTCTGACACGTTTCGGACATGACATATAAATGTGTGATTTAAATAATAATTAAAAAAAAAGATAAACGCATGTAGCTTGCCAATATGATCTCTCTTAATAGAAGTTAGTTCATGAAATGATAGGGATCTATGTCCAATGCTTAAGCAGTGGGAATGGCTAGCTTAGCTTGCTTGGAGGCTAATTAAGAGCTTGTATAAGAGTCGAGAAGAGTGGTAAACACTCAAAAAGAAGGTAATCTTGATTTAAGCTTAAATGAGGATCTTCACTTAATTTTGTTGAATAACTTTTTAGTTTTATACCGTGAGTGATAATGTTCTAATGCAAGATTACATGGTTGTATGATTTCATTAAGCATATGAAAGTGATTATTGACAGAATGTGTGTGAGAGGATTCATTCATTTTGCATTATAATTGATTTTACATGATTTAAGATGTGCTAAAATGAATATGATTGGTGTTGTTTATGCATATGCCTACCATATTGATTTACATGCACATGCATATTGATTCTCTTTATTATTGACTGCCAGCTAATACTTTGTCTTACCTTTTCAATTATATGCCTATGCCTACCATCACATGATATTTTCTAATATAATTAAAGAAGCTTATGATTGTTGCTTAAAATTACATAATTTGAGGTGTGCCTCAGGTCAAAGCACATGCAAAGCTTAATGAGGTGCATGCATAAGGGTGGAGAAAAATCAAACTCTCATGATTGTAACCAAACTTCAAGTGTTGGAAGTGTGAGAAATTTTTGAATTCAAATCCCAAGTCGTAACCAATTTATTTAAGATGATATTTACTTGTTATTTTAAAATTCTTGTTAATGTTAACTTATTTATCTTTAACTTCATGCTTATTATTATGTTTACATATATTTTTATGGGTACTGAGATACATTCGGATTATGCTCAATTACTGTTGGGAGAAAATTGAGCTCAATTTTATGATGTTACTTAAAATTGAGTCCTAAGGAAAATGATTTTTAAATGCTTTATTTTTCATATTGTTTATTGATTTAATGATTTAATCTTGAATCACAATTTCAAAGCTTGCTTATGACTAAGGTATTTCCATTCCTCTCATGATTCTAATGATCTTGGTGTGATGGAAATTTGTATGGATATGAACATGTATCTTGGAAGAATGTTAATACACGTAAACACAAATATAAGGTCTATATGATCACATGTAAGAATCTTTTGTTTGTCCACTTGTTTTAAGCATAACGCTAGTATTCTTGTACCAAATCTTATGATATGAATGGATAATTTATGAAGAATATTTTCCATTTTATGGTTGCTCTGGGTTTTCTTGAAGAAGTCTAATTAGAATGAATTATTTATTTATGGCGTATGTTAGATTTTATCTTAAGGCTTATACCTCAAAATATCTCAAGGCTTATACCTCAAAATATCTTAAGCCTTAGTACACCCTGCCTCACAAAAAGAAAATGACCCGATACCGAATTGCACAATTTTAAGCCAACTAAGGTATTTTAAAAGCAGGTATATTCTAATAATGTGGGTAATACGATGGAAAGACGTGATAAAATGTGAGAATCCTTATCCCTGTGTTTTTTTTTTTTTTTTGGTGTGGGAAAACTAGTGCTTTATACCAAATCTTGTGATATGAATGAATGTTTTATGAAGGCAATTCGTTGTTTAGTAATGGCTCTATGCTTGCTCAAAGATGTCTCATTAGAATGAATTATTTATTTCTTAGTACAGGTTAAATTTTATTTTCTAACCATATTCTCTTTATTTGACTAGGTTTTATATCATCCGCTACAGCGATGAACTTGTAGTTTGACAATGATGTAACATCCCTAATTATGACCCAAAGATCAACAACTGCAAGGAGGACCGAGGTCAATGTTAACCTTAAGTTTCAGATAAGACAATTGAGGAATGAACGAGATAGCGGTTTTTCCTCATCATCTTCACTCTTGGAGGCTCCTTGAACTTCCTTGGCTCCTTTCTCTTCTCTTTTCTCCCTTGTCTTTGTGGCTTTTTCTTAACTTCTAACCCTCTCCAATGAGGCGCTCTCTCTCTACCTAACATAAAGGAATGATAGGAATACTTGGACCACACGTTCAAAAATACCCACAAAAAGGGGTAAGCCATCAGATTTTGTTTATCTACAATGCAACCCTCCTAATATGAATTTAAAACAAAAAAAGAAAAATTGTGTGGTATTATGGTTGATTGCTTATATTATATGATTGACCATTTATATAATAGACAGAGTCATGTAATAAATGTAAAATATGTTATACCCAAATGTATAGCATGTTCAAAGTGGATAAAAAAGGTACAACGTAATACAACTTCATTTTGGTATTAACTGAATAACACGGTATTTTTGAAGGTTTCATTCGTTTAAAACATTTTCTACTAAAGTGGTTCATAAATCCTTTGCTATCTTCGTGTGTTTTGTCAAAAAATGTACGTACACCACAACAAACAATCACTTCAGTTATTTCCGTGGGTTAGTTAGCAAATTTTCCTTCAACAAACATTTTCTATGCATAGAACACATTGCATTAATCGTGCCTCCTGTCTTTATTTTATGTTGATATATGTTGATATTTCCTTTACACGGAATATTTCTTTGTGTGGTATATTTTGGTAGAGAGACCTAGACAAATGTCCCTACATAAAACTTGGGATTGGTCTGGCTTGTGAAATTAAATCTTTTGAAGGAATCATGTGTACTATAAATTTGTGTTGTACCTACAAATTTGTTCTAGGAATTAATCTCTGCCCGAATAAATCAACCATGTGATGTTCAATGAGTTTGGGTATATACTTGAGAATCGTTTTAGGGAAAACTTTGAAGTTATCAACAATGTTCAACAAAAATCTGGTTCACCATCCATCTAGACACACAAAAACTAAATGTTGTTACATCAAATATTACTAATTAAGTACAAAAAAAATATTTCGTGCTGGAGAAATGCAAATGAATTAAGACAATATCATAGTATGGATGAAAATAAAACAGCTTATTTTCAATAAAAATGTACTTAAGACAAATATTTACTATCATGTCATAACATTCGACATAAGAAAATGATCTTCCTCAAATATAAAAAATTTATAAATTTTTAAATAGCTAATTAATTTTTTTATTTCCTTGCATGAATGAATAATTGTTGAATGAACTCAAATGGATGTGAGAAATTTCAAATTAAAAAAAATTACAAAATGGAACCCTCTTATGTATAATCTTGGGTAATTGCCCGGAAATACAAATTACAAATAATAGCAACTATCTCATATTTGAAGAAAAACAACAAAATTCATGTAAATAGCCAAATTCATTGATGCTATTTAGATAACAGATAATAGTGCAATATTTTTTGGATGCTAAATTACCATGCGTTTACTTATATATGGTTGTAGCTTGAATGATGCTTCTGAATGCAAGAGATCTTTGAACAATTTACGATTTTCCCTCTCAAATTCTTTTCTAGATTCCTTGCGAGTGCCTGCCTGCCAAACTCTACCAAAATTGGGAAGCCAATTGTCATCAACACTGTCCATGACAATCTCCCCTTTTTTCTCCATCTCAAGTTCAATCCTTCTCTTCTCAGCCCATGCAGCGCCAACACGTTTAGGATTTAACTTTTTTGACTTCCCTTTTTGAGCTAAAGGAGCACGGTTATTCATATTTGCTCCAAAATTAACAAGATTTTTCTCACTTTCATCGCACATTTCTAACCAGGGAGGCAAACCACCAGTATACACATTTGCTTGAGATCCTTCAGAATGAAAACCAATCTGAGTGAGAATCTGCAAGGCTGCATCCAGCAAGTGAGCAATACTTAAGGTGAGTTCAAGTTCTAGAAAACACAAATAAGTAACAATATTTCAAACAAACAAATATTTTTGGGACGTTAGATACCTCCATTGCTCTCCATATAATCAGTTCCATAATCATGCTGCAAATTCATAGATATCAACTATTATATCTGAAAAGTATGCTTATCATGCATAATATGACACATATAGCATTATTAATTATCATGATCTTCAGGCTTGACTTTTTTATACAAACCATTTTAGGAAAAACAATACTCCAACTATGTCCATGTGTATTTTCATGCTTTATGGCATCTCAAAAAATGAAGTTAAATTTGCAGACATATTATTAGCAACTTTAGCAAATTGGCCCACGAACCAATCCCACGCTAGTTATAACTATCGACTCATGTTAAACTGGTTAATGAATAATAAAGTGCTTTGGAAAAGTATATGGAATAACAACCATATTAGATGATGCATATAGGTGTTATTTAGTTTCCTCTATATAGAACCCAATGTAAAGTGGGCCTCTGCAAGGCAAATGCAGCTAATTTTGCAACATATGTGCTAAGGAAATAAACCACAAAATGAAGTAATAACTCCATATATACTTTAGACCAAGCACAAAAAAATTCTTTGCATGTAAACGCCTAAATTTAAACCAACTTTTCACCAAACCACCTGGCTAAGTTTAAGAAAAAAAAGCATATTACACAGCAGAGCTAATCACTGGAATATTAATAGCAGACTTAAAATAACTCTAAATTATGAACCAAAAAAAAGGTGGAGCATAAAAAACCAATAGAAAGGAAAAGCTGATGTTAACAATACAGCAAAGATTTAGGGGGAAAAAAAGGTAAACAAAAATATTTTTTAAAAAAAAGAAAAAAACCGCACATATTTTACAAAACTACAGTATTTACCACTCCAGTCTCCAGTTGTCCTCTTTTTCCTTCGATATCCACATGGTTAGGTGGGGCACCTGACTTATTTACACCGTTGAACATAAATATACAATTGGGATGAAATTAGAATAAAGTAAACGCACCTACCTGTTAAATGTCTAGCTACACTTTCCAAGCCATTCATGTGATCATAAGACACATTTCCCTGCATGCCCCATGACAAAGGAATGGAACCTCGGGCAGCATGAGCAGCATGGGCAGCAGTTGCAGAGCCATTACCATCTGGTTGGCATACCCAATAATTCTCATTTGTAAATCTTTGTAAAGGCAAAACAGGATGAGAAACATTTGAACTAAAAGAACTAATAGAATGATTATCAAAAGTATCCATTTTATTAGAGTTATGCTCATGCTGGAATTGGATATCTTTAGACAGCTCCAGAACTGGTCCTATTGGTCCTTCGCTTGAACTGCAAGCAATATTCGTCAATGCCTCGCATCCCTTCTCCCACTGAAACCACATTTAAGCACCATCAAACAAGCTCAAGTTCCAATTAAACATAACCACCATCAGCCATGCATAATTTCATATATTTCTACTAAACACTAGAGAAAGGATAGCACCTTCAGAAGATCTGCCTTAGAAAGTCTAAATAAATCGATCCGCTCAATCCCTTTTCCATGCTTCCAAAGAAACCTCTTTAGATTCCCAAGGTGTTCCTCGCTCGCCAAATGACGGATAGCATTGCCGCTGTAAAATTAAAGTACATCCAAATCCTCATCAGAGCGGGTGAAAATGAACAGAAAATATTTGTGTTACCAGACGAATTGGCCGCCAATCTCGCTGATATCGACCGCGCAAAAGAGGCACCAGATGCGATTTAAGGCGGCGTGCTCGGGTCGTAGAAAGCTGGGGTTTCGGACGAAAAATTGTAGTTCATCAAGCTTATTCTGAAAACGGGATAGGGCGTCGGCGAGAGCGCGACCGTGCGCAGGGAAGTACCGATGGCGGCGTCCCTTGTCGTGGTTCAGGTTGCAAACCTCGCAGAACTCGAAAGATTCGTCTCCTTCCTTCCCCTTCTTCGCCGAAGGCGCCGTCGCCAACTTTGCATTGTGCGGCTTCTTCATGCATTCGAGGTGTAAGAGAAAAAGGTGTGTCTTGTTCAGTAAATCCGAAAGTTTGAAGAACTTCAAGGGGTTGTCTCGTAACGGATTTAAAGCAGAACTTAACCTGGATTTGACCTAAATCCTGCCAGACGGTCAGTTTGGACAAGATAAAGCCGCAGATTTCATAAATCCGTGTTTTACTCATTTCGGTCGTAAATTCCGGATATACTGATCCTGTGAATCAGCGGAAAAAGTAAATCCGGAACGGGGTCGGCGAGAGCGCGACCGTGCGCAGGGAAGTACCGGTGGCGGCGTCCCTTGTCATGGTTCAGATTGCAAACCTCGCAGAACTCGAAAGATTCGTCTTCTTCCTTCCCCTTCTTCACCGAAGGCGCCGTCGCGGGCTTCTTCATGCATTCGAGGTGTAAGAGAAAAAGGTGTGAGTCTTGTTAAGTAAATCCGCAAGTCTGAAGAACTTCAAGGGGTTGTCTGGTAACGGATTTAGAGCAGAAATTAATCTGGATTTGACCTAAATCATGCCAGCCGGTCAGTTTGGAAAAAATTAAGCCGCAGATTTCATAAATCCGTGTTTTACTCATTTCGGTCGTAAATTCCGGATATACTGATCCTGTGAATCAGCGGAAAAAGTAAATCCGGAACGGGCAATTCGCGCGAAAAAGAAGATATGAAGTTACCTTCCTTCATCTCCCCCCATGGTTTCGGGTAGGCGCAGTGCGGAAGGAGAAGAATGATGGGAGTTTCGGGTCTCTGTACGCCGCGATCCCGCCGTCTCCTTCCCAGTGAGCTATAATTGCGACTGTATCGCAAGGGTTCCGTCACGAAAAAGAAGAAGATGGTTTTGAGCAAAACCGGGAGAACGGTGACGACGGAGGCGATGCCGCGAGGGTTTTCGGGCAGAGGGAGAGATGGGATAGTTGATTTACTAATTTTATTAATTTAATTGACTAATAAATAAGTTCTAATTAATATATTATCAAATTAATTATTATTAGATAATTTTTTTTAAATTATTTAATAGAAATTTTATTTTAAAATTTAATGCTTTTGATAGCTAATCAATATAGAGTACATTCTCAAAAAATATAATTAATAACTAATAAATTAATGATTGATTAATATTAAATAATTAAATGATATGTAATTAGCTTAATTATTTTTTAAATAATTAATTAGCTTAATTATTAATTAATATAATGAGAAATAAAATTTAAATTAAATTAAATAATTATATTTTTATAATAATAAAGTAATCAATATTATTATTATTATTTTAACTATAAAAAAACATAATAATCTTTAAAATCCTCACCTAAATTATTAAACAGTTTCGTAGGATTTAATTGAGTTTGTTAAATTCGTCAAACACTCCTTGAGGTTTAGCCCATCCCAGATTTACTAAGTTCTTATTTACAGGATTTAGTAAATCCTACTAATCTAAATCTAATTTGTTGTCATACAAGTTAAGAATTTCAAGTATTCACTTTTGCTTCGTTTGCCCGCTGCAAGAATGAATGCAAGCTCCAATGGAGACTTTCTTGAGCATTTTAGAATTTTGGGAGTAAGATGAGTTCCGTAAAATATATTAATAAAATTCTTGTGTTAATTTAATAGCTAATCTTAATTAACTAAAAGCATAGTGATTAAAATTTTAATATTAAATGTATGGTTTAATGAAATATCGTATATTGAGGTCGTCACATATAGAGGGTGATTATGCTTACTAGTTCCCAATAAAAGGTCATCATTGATAAAGAAAATATCAAGCAAAACATGTTCTTTAAATTAGTTCTCAGTGAAAAAGATTCGAAAAACTTTGGGCTCTAAATGGACCTTATCCAAAGTCTTTCAAATTTCAGAAGATAACATTAGTGAATCATATACGCTTAATGGAAACTTCTTTAGGTGGGTCGGGATGTTATAGTCCACCTTGCCATACTGGCTATCATGGCTCGCATTTCGAGCTCAAAGCATAAGGGTGTTATAAATATCATTTCTTAGCAGATTTTAATAGTGGGAAATATTTAGCCAAAATATTCTGAGATAATTCTCCCCAAGTTCTGATTGATCAAAGTGCTAAAGAGTATAACCACATGTTAGTTTTGTTCCTTAATGAAAAAGGAAAAAGTTCTAAGTCTGACGACGTCATTCGACACTCCATCATATTTAAATTTAGCACACAATTCTAGAAAACTAGTAATGTGCAAATTAGGATCTTCAGTTGGTGTTCCCTCAAACTGATTGTTATAAATATCATTTCGAAGCTTAGCAGTTTTTAAATGTGAGAAATATTTAGATAAAAATTTTTGTGATAAATCTTCCCAAGTTCTGATAGATCCAGGTGTTAACAAGTTTAACCATATCTTAGCTCTATCCCTTAGTGAAAAAAAAAATCTAAGTCTGACGGCATCATTCGACACTCCATCATATTTAAATGTAGCACACAATTCTAGAAAACTAGCAATGTGCAAATTAGGATGTTAGCAAGTTGGGGATTTTAATTTGTCGCCTTAAAATCTCTAATTCTGCATCCAACAAAGTATATTTTTCTATTTCTTTGCACCAATTTCATGGATGCAATACTCTCTCATGAAATCAAATGTGATTCTCCCCATGTTGTAGAAATCATAGCACTTCCGGAACATATGTTTCTCAACACATTTTGACATTTCAATTAACCAGATCGAAAAGTAAATGAAGATCAGAGTTCAAATCATCATCTAAACTCTAAACATTTAAAACCATATAAAACAAAATCAATTCTTAACAAAACCATATCTTAAATTAGGGAGAAGGATAAAGAAGACTACTCAGAATTCATGTGAAGGACACGACAAAGCACATATTTTATATATAAAAACAAGTTTACAAAACAAAAGAAATAAAAGACATAACTTATCTCACAATCTTTCGCAAGCAAACTCCGAGAAATTCTCTCCAAGTTCTCTCTTTACAAGCACTCTCAATTCTCTCTTAGAAGTGTAATGAAAAAAAAATCTCTCATTCTCTCTCATCTTACAATCATTGAGGAAAATCTCCAAGCCCTTGACTTTCTCTCTCTCTAACTCTCATGCTTCACGCCACACACCTCACGCCCAAAACTCCTCTTCTTTTTTTAATCCTTAGACTTGCTTCTCTTTTATTAAAGATTGTCTTCCTCCAAAAAGACTTCAAAATTTCCTCCAAAATTCTATCCAAAAGTCAACTCTTTTGAATACAAAAGCCATGTCCATTGATCAAAGAGACATATTCCTTATAAAATAACCTTCCAAAGTGTCTGAACACATTGAATTACTCCAAGGGGTGTTTAAAACAAGTGTCCCTTTGAAAATTCGCGCAAAATTTGTCTCGAACCGCCTTAATCTAAAAAATTTGTTCATGATGCATCTGGTGTCAAATCTGGCATATCATGTGCAAAATCTTTGTCAAATGGCGCATCTAGTACCAATCTGATGCATCATGTACCAGTTTGTTGAAGACCGCCTTGTTATGGGTTTTGGCGCATCTGGCGCATCTAACACCACTTCGGCGCATTTGGCGCCAATTTGGCACATCATGCACTAGAATTCAAAACTTCACTGTTTTGGCTCCAAATTTCGTTCTTTTTGCTACTTTTGCTCCAAATTCGAAACTTTGTTGTTTTGGCACATCAAGTGAAGTCAATTTTTGATTAAGCATCTACTCACTTATTTTTGTTTTCTTTTCTTGTTTTTCCTTTTAGGATCTTTTCAATCATTTCTTTTCTTTTTCTTTTTCAAGTGAGGATTACTATATCTGGATAGCATTTTGAACTTCACTATTCTCTTCTCAAAGTCAAAACTCCTTACCTTTCTTCACTTTATAAATTCATATTAGTTTATGATTTTCATAAAGTCCCATTCTTTTCTTCTTACATGAATCTCTAAAATTCTTAATACTTCAAAAATACAATTTCTTTTACTTTAAATAGAAAAATGTAGTCTTATTTTATCATATCAAATATCTTTAACATTAGAATTGACTTTCATTATTAAAAACTCTTACCTAAATTTACCATAATATTCATAAGATTAAGTATAGTCATTTAAAGTTTAATTTTAATATCTCAGATCATGTTAAATTAATTTTAAAAATATTGTTACTTAAGGACAAATAAGATTTAGTTTACATCTTTTTTAAAAAGAAAATTTTCTTTCCCCCAAACTTAAGTTTTTAAGTATTTTAAAAAAATATTTTAGTACAAAATTCAATTGGTAAAAGAAAACAGTAAATGCATGAAAATAAAAACTAACATGTAGAGGATTTCTGACTATGAAACTGAGCTATGGTATACTGCAGGCACTAACTTTAAAAACACACACAACCTTTAAAGCATTAAATGAGATATAATATATTCTAAAGAATTTGTTGAGATTTAAAAATAGAAACAAAAACTGAAAATACTAAACATACAGAAAAAGTAAAAATCTACCGTTACTACTACAATTTTAAATCCACAACACAAAAATAAAATTTTTTACTACTACAGTTTCAAATACCAACCAAATAAAATCCAAATAACATACAAACAATCAAGCAACTAAACAAATTAAATAAACTAATTCCAGAAAGTATCAATCTTCATCACCTTCCTCATCATCATCTTCTTCTTCCTCTTCTTCTTCTTCTTCTTTATATGAATAGGAGCATATGGAGTAAAGCTGGGGCAAGTACAAAATTCCACATTGTATTCACCCCTAAGATACCTCACCATAGCATCCTCAAAAGCTATATCATGTTGAACTTTCCTCTGCTAATACTCATCATTATAAGTATTTCTTGTTCCACTCTCTCCAATCTGATTTTGAATGTTTACTATATCCAATTGTTGAATCATGAATTGGTCCACAATATTTTCTAATGATGCAGGGCGAGAAGTAGATACCCATTTAACTGATATAGAGGGTCTATCGCTTCTTCCACCCCTAGATTCAACAAATGATTCAACTCTTTGAATCATATGCTTCCCCATAGGATTTTGTGGCTGTGATCTTTCTTCATTTCTATGAGACTCTACTCCTAACTGCTCACAAAGTTCCTGACTGCTCACAAAGTGTGAAAATTAGAGCAAGGTAACCCAAACCACTAGCTGTAGAGCTCTTAGCTAAGTACCAAAATCCAAATAAATTCCAAATAAATTACAAAATAAAAAATCTAACACCCCAAGTAAGATTATTTAGTAAGAAACTTTTCACCATGAGTTTTCTTCAAGATTTTTCATCAAAAATCCAAACTTTCGGATTTTCCATAATGTAGGAAAAATCCACGGTGAAACTAAAAAATTTCTAAGTTAAAGTGAAGCTTTTACCAAAGAGAAGTTGAAATCTATGATTTTTAGCCTCCGAAATCTTCTCTATCACGCTCAATGTGAAGCCCTAGGTTAAGGTTTAAAGGTAGGAGACAACTCAAACAGTAAAAATAGAGTTTTACTGTGTGATTTCAAGGTTTTTTAGGCAATCTGGAGTTTTCGGGAATTTGGCGCATCAGGCGCCAACTCTCTGTAAATCGGCGCATCTTGCGCCAATGCTTTAATTTTCCAGATTTTATTTTCTGTGAAAATATGTTCCTTACCGCTTTACGTCTACTTCTAATTAACTCAAATGAACCCTTATAAGCATAATTAAACATTAGTCTAACATTCATCTTTCACAAACAATACAAACCTCACTTTTATATATACAATTCGCGCTATCACAAATTAACATTTATCAAGCCAATAAACATCTATTTCAGTGTTTAAAGCAAACCAAAATATCCTACCAAAATTTTAAAGCAAACCAAAATATCCTAACACTGAAATCTAAACATCAAAATTTCAAACACAAAAATTGATATGGTTCAACAATAAAAGTAAATGCAATCCAACACAACAAACAACTAAAACAAGCAGTACTAA